GCTGTTACTCCTTTTTTCTTTTTTGAGATGAAGTCTTAACTGTGTCGCCCAGGCTAGAGTACAGCAGCACAATCTTGGCTCACCGCAACCTCTGCCTTCCAGGTTCAAGAGATTCTCCTGCCTCAGCCTCCTGAGTAGCTGGGATTACAGGCATGCACTACCACACCTGCCTAATTTTTGTATTTTTAGTAGAGATGGGGTTTCACCTTGTTGGCCAGGCTGGTTCAAACTCCTGACCTCAGGTGATCCGTCCACCTTGGGCTCCCAAAGTGCTGGGTTTACAGGAGTGAGCCACTGCACTTGACCAGGAGCTGTTTAAGCCATCAGGAGACATGCTGACCCACTAGAAGAGGCTGCTACGTTCATTTCTTCCAGAAATGTTTACTGGGCACCTACTATGAACCACCTCCTCCCAGCTCTTTTCTGCACCCAGAGATTGGAGGAGAGTTTATAACCTGGCAGTCTGTTGCTGTGAGGTTGGTGGTGAGGTGAGTCTGCCGGAGGACGTGCCACCAGTTTCAGAAGAGCCTATAGCCTGGGTCTGATTTCCTCAGCCACAGCCTTGGGACTTCAGGAAAAATCAGAAGGTCCCAAGTCTGAAAAATGAAGAGGTGGGGAGTGGGCCGCAGGGGTTTTAGGTCGGGAAATGGTAGGAAACCTGTAGTTGTGGCTCATAATCCCAGCAGGATGTTAGAACCCTCTTCATTTGTCAGAATAGATTCCTGGTGTCTGCTCCCAATTATACGGTGGCTTATGCCTGGTAATCCCAGCACTTTGGGCGGCCAGAGACAGGCAGATCACTTGAGCCCAGAAGTTTAAGACCAGCCCAGGAAACAGACCCCATCTCTACAAAAAACTTAAAAACCCGAGCATGAAGCCCTGTTTCAAAACAAAAGAGTCTGCTGGTGATGTCTGGGCATGTGTCTGCTTCATAGTCCAGTGTTATGATCAGTAGCTGTGATGGACAATGAGTGAACATTGCTGCTTGTTCAAAATGAAGGAAAAAAAAGTTATCAAAACCAGGTTTGGGCCGGGCGCGGTGGCTCAAGTCTGTAATCCCAGCACTTTGGGAGGCCGAGACGGGCGGATCACGAGGTCAGGAGATCGAGACCATCCGGCCCAACACCGTGAAACCCCGTCTCTACTGAGAAATACAAAAAAAAAAAACTAGCCGGGCGAGGTGGCGGCGCCTGTAGTCCCAGCTACTCGGGAGGCTGAGGCAGGAGAATGGCGTGAACCCGGGAGGCGGAGCTTGCAGTGAGCCGAGATCCGGTCACTGCACTCCAGCCTGGGTGACAGCGCGAGACTCCGTCTCAAAAACAAAAAACAAAAAACCAGGTTTGAAAGTTTCAGATTTGGAGGAGCTGGGCCAGTCCATCTGGAATGGCTGAGGGGCCCTGTTAGCCCCACCCTACCCCACCCCACCCCCAAATCCAGCATCTCTGGCAGTGCCCAGAGGCAAGCCCCCCTCAGTTTCCCACGTCCCATTCTGCCTTCCAGAGCCTGGTCCTCAAGTTTTAAATTCCCAGGTCCACTCAACAGAACTCTCTCCCTTGTCTGACTGCAGTCTCAGAATGAAAGGAGAGGTGCTTTTGTTGGGTTGTTTGGTAGCGTTTAGGCTTAGAAGTCACTGATTTGGAGCCGTGAGTATATAAGCTAATGACACGTGTATAAGCTAATGACACGTGATGGTCAAGGGACATACTACCATTTCCTGTGGGTTATTAGGGCCTCCAGCTGTTGCGAGGACACGCTGGGGTATCTCGGCTTCAGGGAGTTGATGCTGTAACTGGAGAAAGGCAATGCTGCCTCATAAAGCAATCAGAAACGAGATTCCACTTGCCAAATGCCAAGAGGCAGCGAAGTTCATGAAGAGAGCACTGTGTACAGAGTCAGATGACCTGGGCTCACTAGCCTCTAAGCATAGTCTGGTTTCCTGCCTGTAAATTGGTAGAATAAGACTGATCTACTGGGCCCCAGCATGGTGGCTCATACCTGTGATCCCAGCACTTTGAGAGGCCAAGGCAGGAGGACCCCTTAAGCCCAGGAGTTTGGGACCAGCCTGGGCAACATGACAAAACCCCGTCTCTCCAAAAATACAAATTTTTTTTTTTTTTGTATTTACAAAATACAAAAATTAGCCAGGCATGGTGGTACACACTTATAGTCCCAGCAAGTAGGGGGGCTGAGACAGGAGGATCTCTTAAGCCTATGAGTTTGAGGCTGCAGTGAGCTGTGATTGCGCCACTACACTCCAGCCTGGACGACAGAACAAAACCTGTCTCAAAAACACCAAAAAACAAAAACTGGTCTCCTGGGGTCATGGTAGCACAAACGCACATGACTGAGTACGCAGGAGTTCTGAGGCTTGTCCACTGACCTGGGGCTCTGGCCCTGGGAGATCTGGGGGACCTGCTGTGATGATTTGAAAGAAAGGGGCATCATTCCAAGCCAAGAGACCCCAGAAAGGGCACCAGGGGGTGTTCAGGCTTCTGTGAGGCCCCAGTGAGATCTGTGGCTGTGCCCCCATCACCTCCACCCTGTCTGCCCTCCCACGAGCTGCCCAACGAATGAATCAACGCCTTGGCAGAGTTTCCCAGCAGGGCCTTGCAGAGAGTGTGTGTGGCCTGTGTGGCCACTGCCTTGGGGGTGGGTGGGGAGTTAGGGAACATTCCAGCGTGGGCATTATTGTCCTGTTGCAAGTTCAGGGCCAAACCAGGAATCCAGTTTTGTCGATCCAATTGAGAAAACATTTCATGAACAACTACTTGTGGCATGCATTGGCACTCAGAGTAAAACGCACTATTATCACTAGGTTGGCATTTCTTCTTTTATTCTTTTTCTTCTTCTTTTTATTTTTTATTTTTGAGACCGAGTCTCACTCTGTCGCTTAGGGTGGAGTATAGTGATCTCAGTTCACTGCAACCTCTGCCTGCCGGGTTCAAGCAATTCTCCTGCCTCAGTAACTGGGATTGTGCCTGCCACCACGCTCGGATAATTTTTGTATTTTTAGTAGAGATGGGGTTTCACCATGTTGGCCAGGCTGGTCTCGAACTCCTGACCCCAGGTGATCCGCCCGCCTCGATCTTCGAAAGTGCTGGGATTACAGGCATGAGCCACTGCATCCAGCCAGGTCAGCACTCCAGACTAGCTCAGCTGTGAAAGACTAGATGTTAATAAGAGGTTCCTGAATCAAGGATTTTGTGCTCACATTCAGTGAAGCACTACAGACTCCCCTCTTGGATAGTTGGAGGCTTTGAATACAGCCCTTCTTCTATTCTCCCTCCCTTACTGGCTCACCCCTAATGAATCCAAATGCAGTCTAGTAAAATCAGGAAGCCTGCTATGAAAACTCAACAGAGATCCTGAAGATACCTCTGCAGGTGCCCGCTCTGACTCAGGTGAAGGGAGAATGGCTGTACCTTTGGTGATGGTGCTGAGGGAAAGGACCTCAACTCCCATAAGTGCTGGGTCTGAGGCCACATGTTACACCAGGACAGGTCCTGTGTCCCTCAGGAAAGCCTGGCTTTGGGGTCAGACCTCAGTAATCAGCCGGGAAATCTTAGGTAAGATTCTTTCTCTCGCTCTCTCCGTTTTTTTTTTAAAGAAAAGCGACAGGGCCTTGCTCTGTCATCCAGGCTGGAGTGCAGTGACTCAATCACAGTTTAGTGCAGCCTCGACCTCCAGGGCTCAAGTGATCCTCCTGCCTAAGCCTCCCGAGTAGTTACGACTACAGGCATGAGCCACCATGATGCCTGGCTAATTTTTTATTTATTTTTTATTTCTGCAGAGATGGGGGTCTTTCTACGTTGCTCAGGCAGGTTTCTAACTCCTGGGCACAAGCCCCAGAAAAGGGGTGAAGAATCTTACCCAAGGCCAGGCACAGTGGCTCAAGCCTGAAATCTCAGCACTTTGGGAGGCTAAGGCAGGAGGATTCCTTGAGGCCAGCAGTTTGAGACGAGCCTGGGCAACATAGGAGACATCTGTATCTACAGAAAATTAAAAAAATAAAAATTAGCTGGGTGTAGTGGTCCCAATTACTTGGGAGGCTGAGGTGGGAGGATCAATTGAGCCCAGGAAATCAAGACCTCAGTGGGTTGTGATCATGCCACTGCACTCTAGCCTGGGCAATAGAGTGAGACCTTGTCTAAAGAAAAGGCCAGGCGTGACGGGTCACGTGTATAATTCCAGCACTTGGGAGGTTGACACAGGCGGATCACCTGAGGTCAGGAGTTCAAGACCAGCCTGGCCAACATGGTGAAACCCCATCTCTACTAAAAATACAAAATTAGCTGAGCATGGTGGAGCGTGCCTGTAGTCCCTGCTGTGAAACTCTGCCACAAAAAACAAAAAACAAAAAACAAAAAAAAAAAAACAAGAAAAGAAGATTATTCACCTTTTGGAGCTCATGTCTTTATCTGTAGACTGGGTAACTCATTGGTGCTCAACAAGGATGATGTATCAGAGAAAGACCTTTTCTTCCACCTAATGGACCCCCAGTGCCATAGACACACACACACACACACACCAGTCACCACCTCATCACTCAGTTTTTTGTTTTGTTTTGTTTTTTAGAGGCAGGATCTCGCTATATTGCCCAGGCTGGAGCACACTGGTTATTCACAGGTGCAACTGCAACTCACTGTAGCCTCAAACTCTTGGCCTCAAGAGAGTCTCCTGCCTCAGCCTCCTGAGTAGCTGGGACTACAGGCTTGTGTCACTACACCCAACTCCCCATCACCTGGCTTTTAGTTTTATGAGAAGAGGCTTTTGTCCGGGTCCGAGTGTTCTGGAGAGGAGCTGGGGTAGTCCCTTAAAACAGTCCAAGCTGCCTGGGAGCCAGGGCCTGGGTTCTGGAGACTTCTCGTAGTCAACTGGTCGGCACCCTCAGTCAGAGCAGTCCCCTGGCTGGTCCTCTGGGTTGAAGGCTCCCTCCTACTCCACACTCCAAGGCAGGCGGGGGCCACGTGGCCCTGCCCCGCCCCTGCTGGCTTCGGTTCCTGAGCAGAGCTGCAGAGGCCTGCTTTCCCCGCCCTTCTCATCAGACGGGAAGCCTGGACTGTGGGCTGGGGGCAGCCTCAGCCTCTCCCACCTGGCAGCCACTGCCCGTGGCCCTTAGGCACCTGCTTGGGGCCCTGGAGCCCCTTAAGGCCACCAGCAAACCCTAGGAGACCGAGGCTTGGCACGTGAACAGGTAAGAAGGCATCAGGCTTTCTCTCCCACGCCTGGCTTTCCTCTGCCTCTGACGGCCTGGCTTCCCCACCCCGATTCTGCTGCTGCTTCACCGATCCCAGGAAGAGGGACTTGAGCTAGACTTGACAAAGACAGTCCCAGCCAAGACTCTCTGAAGTATGCCTCAGAGAAGTATGCCTCAGCAGAACTGTCTGCCCTGGGTTTCAATTTTTCACCTTTGCCTTCATCAGCCTTGCTGGAAAAAACAGATCCATATAACCATAAAGCAAGTCATTTCTCTGTGTGTGCCCTTCGGAGTTTAGTCAGTTGACAAACCTACATTCTCATATGGTTGGCATGGGTCATGGGGCGCTGCTCCACTGTATATTGCCGTAGGTCTTTGGACCTTAATGTACTGTGTGTGTGAACTATCACTTGCATGTATTACTTTATCAAAAATCAGTTGATTTGGCCGGGCACAGTGGCTCACGCCTGTAATCCCAGCACTTTGGGAGGCTGAGGTGAGTGGATCACTTGAGGTCAGGAGTTTGAGACCAGCCTGGCCAACATGGTGAAACCCCATCCCAACTAAAAATATGAAAATTAGCTGGGTGTGGTGGTGCATGACTGTAATCCCAGCTACTCGGGAGGCTGAGGCAGGAGATAGACTTGAACCCGGGAGGTGGAGGTTGCAGTGAGCCAAGATCACACCACTGCACTCCAGCCTGGGCGACAGAGTGAGACTATGTCTCAAAAAAAAAAAAAAACAAAACCAACTTGATTTCAAGTTCTTTAAAGGAAAGAGGCAAAAAAGTCAACAGTGTAGGTAAACCTTTCTCATGCAGATGGGATTTCTGAAATTAAAATGAAGTGTTCTGCTTTTACACTTTTCTTTTCTTTTCTTTTTTGAGATGTTGTCTTGCTGTGTCACCCAGGCTGGAGTGCAGCCACGTGATCTTTGTTCACTGCAACCTCTGCCTCCTGGGTTCAAGTGATTCTCCTGCCTCAGCCTCCCGAGTAGCTGGGATTACAGGCACCCGCCACCACGCCCAGCTAATTTTTATAGTTTTAGTAGAGACGGACTTTCACCATGTTGGCCAGGCTGGTCTTGAACTCCTGACCTCAAGTGATCCACCCACCTCGGCCTCCCAAAGTGCTGGGATTACAGGCGTGAGCCACCGTGCCTGGCCAACTTTGCACTTATTTTTAAATGCACATAAACCAACTAACTAGATGTTGTTTTAAGGTCCACATGGTATTCACCAAGTTAACAGACCCATCCCTGGGTGGGCAGCCTCTGTCCACTGATGGTGAAGTTGAGTTGCTTCTAGGTGTTTTGCAATGAATAATTCGACTTCTGTGGACAACTCTGTGGAAATAACTTTTTTTTTATTTTAGTATTTGAAGTTGTTGGTTTTTCCCCCTTCTCCTTGGAGTTTATTCTGCATCCAGAATGAATACTCCGGGCCAAGGACAAGAGCATTTTTGCAGCTCAGCTCATGTTATGTGTGGGGTCAGCTCACTCATGAGAATTACGGGACTAATTTACTGATTTCCAGGGCCACGGTGGCAGAGTGGGCTGGGCGGGGGACTTGAGATCTCTGGGATTTCTCAGGAAGGGGACAGAGACCGTCTAGCGTAGTGGTTAGGAGCTTGGCTTTTAGAAGGCTGACTAGCCTGGGTTCGTATGCAGTAGCTGCCTGACCATGAACTTCCACCACATAACTTCATTGTGCCTCGGTTAGTTCACATGTAAAATCAAGGTTATAAAACTTGTTAGGGGCCAGGCATGGTGGCTCATGTCTGTAAGCCTAGCACTTTGGGAGGCTGAGGTGGGTGGATTGCTTGAGCCTAGGATTTCGAGACCAGCCTGGGAAACATGGTGAAACCTTGTGTCTACAAAAACAAAAACAAACAAAAACAAAAACTTGTTAGGAATGTTGGAAGTCAGAGATCCTGTTTGTGAAGCATCTAGCATAAGATCTGGTGCTTAACAAGCACCCCTGGAGGCCCCCTCTTCCCCAAGCCTGGGGCTTTAACAAGCCAGGCAAAATTGAGAAGGTCAAGGACATCTTCTTGGCCTAGATCCTATTCTTACCCAGCTTCACGGTAACTAGAGTGAAAGGCTTCATTGCCTGTTCGAGGATATTTTGACTAGGCCTCTGTCTGTCCCAAAGCTGACACGTGGAGCATCAAGCTCAGGCCTCCCTCGGGGGGACCCCCAAGCTTTCATCCACCTCTGTTGTCACATCTGGATGCCACCATTCTTATCTCTCAGCCACCCTCCTCAACATGCAGGTTTAAGGGATCCCTGGACAGACTGGAGAGTTCCCGGAATATCTGCAGGTGCACCTGCCCAGCCCCAGCCTGCTGTCACTGGGGTAGGTTACGCACATGGTTCAGCAGAAGGAGCACAGGCTCTGGAGCTGGTCGGACTGGATTCCGGTCCCGGCAGCACCACTTCCCACCTGTGGGCAGTCACTGGACCTCTCTGACTCCCCGTTTCCTCATTTGCGAATGGATGTGTTAATATCTTTGGCCTAGAATTACATGAGATCACACAGATAAAGCAGTAGCCCCAAGGAGCCCTTACCGTGAAACTCAAGGCTGCACTCCAGAGCCTTCGGGAAGGTACTGGAATTAGCCATAAAGGACAGGCAGAAAATCCATGTGTTCATTTTCTCAGACAACAAACATTGATTGGGTTGGCCGGCCCTGGTGCTGGGAACCAGGGAGGGACGTGCACAAGATGCCTGTCTGCTATTGACATAGGCTGCAGGGAGAGGGGGAGTGGGAGATGAGTTGAGGGGAGGCGGTGGGGATAAGATTTTGAAGAGTTTGAAGATCAAGTGAGAATTTGGATTTGATCTCAATGATAAGGAGTTTTTTTTTTTGTTTTTTTTTTGAGACGGAGTCTTGCTCTGTCGCCCAGGCTGGAGCGCAGTGGCGCGATCTCGGGTCACTGCAAGCTCCGCCTCCCGGGTTCACGCCATTCTCCTGCCTCAGCCTCCCCAGTAGCTGGGACTACAGGCACCCGCCACCACACCCGGCTAATTTTTTGTATTTTTAGTATAGACGGGGTTTCACCATGTTAGCCACTGTGGTCTCGATCTCCTGACCTTGTGATCCACCCGCCTCAACCTCCCAAAGTGCTGGGATTACAGGCGTGAGCCACCACGCCCAGCTGTTTTTTTTTTTTTTTTTGACAGAGTCTTGCTCTGTTGCCCAGGCTGAAGTACAGTGTCCCGATCTCAGCTCACTGCAACCTCTGCCTCCGGGGTTCAAGTGATTCTCCTGCCTCAGCCTCCTGAGTAGCTGGGACTACAGGCACGCGCCACCACGCCTGGCTAATTTTTGTATTTTTAGTAGAGATGGGGGTTTCCATGTTACCCAGGCTGGTCTTGAACTCCTGACCTCAACTGATTCACCTGCCTCAGCCTCCCAAAGTGCTGGGATTACAGGCATGAGCCACCGCGCCTCGCAATGATGAGGGGATTTAAGCAGGTTTTGAGACGCCTGTTCTGGCAGCTTCGAGAGACGAAGCTAGTGTTGGCAGCTGATGTCGTTGGTGGCCTGGTGTGCCTCCAGCCTTCCCCTGCATCTCAGGGGCCCTAATTGTACTCAAAATAAATAACTGCAAAGAGAGGGGTTCTCAGGACAGGCCTGGGTCAGGCAAGCCTGGCCTGGGAGTTGGGGCCCTGGTGCTGGGTTCTGGTCCCAGCCCCACCACCAGAGCATGTAGATCTTTCCTTCTTGCCTCAGAGGAGGACTCTGTTTCCCAGGCTGCAGTGCAGTGGCGTGATCTCGGCTCACTGCAGTGCAGTGGTGTGATCTCAGATCTCTGCCTCCTGGGTTCAACGATTCTCATGCCTCAGCCTCCTGAGTAGCTGGGATTACAGGTGCCCGCCACCATGCCTGGCTAATTTTTGTATCTTTAGTAGAGATGGGGTTTCACCATGTTGGCCAGGCTGATCTCGAACTCCTGACCTCAAGTGATCCACCCACCTCAACCTCCCAAAGTGCTGGGATTACCGGCGCCTGGTCCAGGGCAATTAGGCTTCTTTTTTTTTTTTTAATTCTTCAGCTAAAAGAGGAAGAGGTGATTTATTATATGGTTGTTACGCTCGGCCACAAATAAACACAGAAATAGTCCAGAATGTGACAAGTCCAGGGCAGAGGACCAACATGGGCAGTTTTGTTTATGAGCAAGGTGGGTCTCAGAGGTGATCGGCGATCAGAGGGCGATGAAGTTCTAGATCCATTGAGACAAGCTCCAGACAGTAGCATGCAGTCCCACAGCTTGTACCAGCATCCCCAGCACCTGACGTTCCATGTTGCTGCTCCTGTGGCCTCCACGGTGCAACAAGCTAGCAGCTTACCTGTACCTCTGCCTCATCTTTCTTCTTTTGTGCCTCAGCCTGCGCATTCACTTCTCCCTCCACTTGGCTCTCATGGCGCAGAGGTTTCCAAGAAAATGGCGCTAAGGCCGACAGCGCAATTAGGCTTCTTACAGCTCTTTCCTACTGGGGGTTCTGTACAATGTTTCTGGAAGCCACAGCTCCCCTGCCCCTGCCCCCAAGGCAATACTGTCCTGTGGCCTTCCCTGACCCGGCCGTAGGAGGGAGAGACATCTTGTCCCAGGTGGGCAGTGTGGCGCTTTGACCTTGAGAGAGACTCCATGGAAGTCTGAGAACTGTGGTTTCCAGATGTGGGACAATCCTGGGGCGGTTCTGGGCTCCAGCTGTCATGCATGCTTGCGTATGAGGGCCACGTCTCATAAGTAAAGGGCAGTGTCCTCTGGGACCTGGGCTGCAACTGGCCTGGGAACCTGCTTCCTGAGCTTTCCAGGGGCTGCCTGGAGAGCTCCGTCCGTGCATCCCAGCACGCCTGGAAAACAGCCAGGCTTTCCCCTTGGGGTCCTCTCCACGTCGGAGGATGTGGATGGGTTGAGACTTGCCTATAGCTAGAAAGGTTCAGGTCAAAATGACGAATTGGAAAGGCCAAAGAGATGTGGACTTCCCA